AAAAAAATCAAAAGGGAAAATTACGATTTTGCCCCTAAGCTTTAGGATATTTACGAGATTGTCCTTGGAGCTTCAACTATAAATAGGCCTCCCCATTTCACTTGTAAATCAACTCAGAAATTACTCAAAAACACAAGTTTCCTCTTGTAGAGTGAGTGTTTGTTGAGTGAAGAGTTCTGTATTCCCACAATTTGTGGAAGGTGGTAATAAAATATTTTCGGAGTTGGTCCCGTGGATGTAGCCCTAGTGTAAGGGTGAACCACGTAAAATTCTTGTGTTGTCTACTTTCTTTTCTTTCTTTGTCTATCATCATCTAGCTAGTTTTATTTATTTGTTGCCGCCTATATGGCTGGATCCGCCTAAATGGCTGGTTTTATTAACATGTTTCTGCTTTCTTTCCCAACACATGAATACACCAAACTGGACTGGGAGCATAGTAGAGTTACTCAAATATAATGTATTTTTAACTTTTAATTGATATATTACACCGTGTTTGGTTGCACGAAAATTATTGTTAAAATTATTATATTTTATTCTTTATAAACACTATTTTCGTTTCCTTTTAATTCCTATTGTCTATTGCTATATAGAATTAAAAAGTAAAACTATGAAAATATGATAACTAAAAAGAAACAAATACAGATCTTATAGGCACATAGTGCCACTTCATCTGATTCACCAATTTTTTTCATAATTCCCTTTATCAGGATTATACAGCAGGGTTAATTCCTTGAAAAGAGTAGAACACATTGCTATGTGAAGTAGACATGGCAATTGAGCAAGAAAATCTGCAAAAGAAGAAAATGCCATTGCTTTTAATTCAAAACGAAATTGCATACACCTATACATACATTCATTATATTGGGTTAGTTTGTGTAAAATTAAAAAAACTTAATTTAAAAAAAAAAAAAAAACTACAACTCTTTAAGAAGCAGATGAGATTTGCTTCAAAGCAGAAAACTGTTTTTATTATTTTCAAACAGTTTAGACAAACACGTTGTAAAGTAAGAGATTGTTGATTCATTAAAAAGATTATTTTTAAAAACAAAAAAGTTTAAACCAGGAGGCCATTAGTGTTACAATTTCCACTTGTTGGAAAGCTGCCATAATTGAAGTCACCTTTAGCCCTCCTTATCTGCGGCCACTTTGAAGCTGCCTTAATTGCTGTCTCAAGGTTAGTATTTAGTCCTACACTAACTAGAAATATGCCTTAAATAAAATTTGATCAGTATTCACATTAGAAGCTGGTTTTGTGGGTTGACTTATGCTCTAAACTCCAAATTCTGAATCTAAAGTGTATGCTTTGATGACAAACATGAACCATTCATGCTGCTATACCATTGCCACCATCAAACTTCTGGTACAGGGCAGTAAATCATTTTATCATAAAAAAACAATGCACCTTCATTTTATATTCTAACTTTTCACAAAAAAATCTATTACGTTCTTCGACATCATGCTACAAGAACGAATCATCCTTATTCCATCTAAAAGACTTAGTTAACTCTTTAGTAGATATATATATTAGTGTCACTATGTTGCAGCTTGTAGAATAAACTCTACAATGCCAAAGGAATGCTCCTTGATGGCATGTCATTCTCATTCGTAGGCATATGGTATACAACCTGTAACAATAGTTTATGTAAGGTGCTTCCTTTTATAGAAACAAAGGCATGAACATTAAAAATTGACTAACCTTACTAAAATAAGGAATGTTATACGGTGTCTAAAGTAGAGAATTCATGTAACAAGAGGCTTATGTACAACATCAGCTTCAATTATACGTCTATCATTCACCAGAAAACTTCTTGCATGATCATATAAGTCAGGAAGTGGAGACATGAAATTAATGAAACCCCAATCACTCTCACGTGCATTGTACTGAAGCTGTGATTCTGCAATATGCAAAATCAATTAATTATTTTCCAATAAAAGAAGAAAACAGAAGAAATACAACACAGATGAGGATAAGATGTCACTCTCAAGGTTGAAGTTTGCAAGATTGAAAATTTGTAAATATGATTAATAACATAATAGAAGAAACACATGCAATGCACAATTACAAAATGTAGTTTGTAATAAACAATGAAATGTCATTTAAACTCTTGAACAAAACAAACTCAATTTATATCGTATGAGAATTTAGATCTCTAAACTATAATTTGATCTTATAACATGTACACAAAATCAATTAAAAACAAAACTATAGAACTATTTTAAAAGCAGATAAAAATAAACAAAACAACATTAAAGCATCTACAAACTATACTTTGTTGCCTACATGTAGACATACAAAACAGAACTTGTATTCAGGAATTCTATCCCCATTAAAATTCAGCACTTCGTCAATGTAGTGTACAAAACAAATACATCACAACATTCTCACTCAAAATCTGCATGTTGACATGCAACAAGAATTAAAGAATCTTGAAACTCTAATCAATCATTTTTCACCAATTAAATAGGTCTACATACAACGTGGAGAAAATATCTTGAAAAAATAATTACCCACTTCGCCAATCAAACATGTTTGCACATGAACTAGCAGAAAAAATCTTGAGAGTTTAAACTCAAATTTCTCACTTGCCTAATCAATCAAGTCAACACTTGACATGATAGAAACCAATTCTTGAACTTCTTCAAAACCTACAAGATCAAACCCCACCCCAACCAAAAATTCAAAACACTTGAAATACTATATGCAAAAACACAACCATTGATTAAAAAAAAAAAAAATCCATAGTTCAAAGAGTTATCTATTACATACTATGGCATTGCTGCAATTCACATTTGTGAAATTAAAATAAGAAAAAGTCAATTAAAACAAAGGCATTTGTTTCATTCCACCATTAAGGACATCACTTTAATTTATGCCTTCCATCATCACAAAAGGAAAAATCCTAGCAAATAACAACGACAAACAAGAATAAAAAGAAATGAAACAAGAAATTGAAAAGCAGAGAAAAAATAACATAACATCACTTTAATTTCTACCTCCATCAGTACAAGGTCAACAACGTGAGGAATGGTAGTATTTGTCCACCGGTTGCTGCACCACACAAAAAGAACATTAAAACAAAAAGAAAAATCCTTGCAAATAACAAAAACAAACAAGAATCAGAAAGAAATGAAATAAAGAAATTGAGAAGTAGAGAAGCAATAGCATAACATAACTTTAATTTCTACCATCCCATCAACACAAGGTCACCAGAGCGAGGAATGATAATATTTGTCCACTGGTTGGTGCACCACACAAAGAACAAGAATCGAAGAGGAATGATGAACAAAAATCAAAGAAAAATCCTAACGAGTAATAAAGATAAACAAGAAATGAAAAAAGAAATGAAAAAGCTGAGAAACACATAAAATCACTATAGTTTCTACCTTCCAAAGGCAAAGGTCACCAGAATGAACAACAAAGAGAAAAATCTACTGAGTAACAAAGACAAACAACAATCAGCAAGAAATGAAACAACAATTAGAAAGAAATCAAACAAGAAATTGAAAAGTAGAGGACATAACATTACTTTGGTTTTTACCTTCCATCAGCCAAGCCCAAGGTCACCAGAATGAGGAACAAAGAGAAACCCTAGCGAGTAGCAAAGACAAACAAGAATTAGGAAGAAATGAAACAATAATCAGGAAAAAAGAAACAAAAAAGAAATTGAAAAGCAGTGAGACAGAATTTTAGAGATAGAAGAAAAGAAAAAGATATAAAATATTTTTTTCTTTATATCTTTAAGTGGATATGCAGGTATTAAAATATAAAATGATTTATTAAATCTAATTATCATTTTTTTTAGTTTAGAAACTTAATTGAAAATTCCTAGCTCATATACAAAAATTCAAAATGATTTATTAAATCTATTAAAAAATATAAAACTATATAAATTAGAATAGATATTTTTAAGGAAAGTGTTTTTAAAAAATATTTTTAAACCATGATTTTTACACCTTTTTTTTTCTTCCAGGAAAGTGTTTTAGATATTTTTCTAAAATGTCCATTTCTTCCATATTATTACTTTTGTTTTATAAAATCCAACACAGAATAATTGTTAATTTTTTTAATATAAGACAATTTATATTGTTTGTTCTTTAATTATTTTTAAATAAAAATATCTATAATTAAAGTGTATTATCTTAATTTGATAAATATAATAATTTTTTTTATAAAAATAAGAAAGATTATAAAGATAAGTCTTATTTCAGTATAAGATATAGACTCTAACTAATTAGAAAATATACAAGTATTAATTAGATAATTAAAGAATAATTTTAAATATATATATATATATATAACAAATAAAAACTTTATTTTTATCAACTAAATTAACTATTTTTTTTAATCTGGGTAAATTAGATATTAAGACTTGTATATACTTTCTATGATTCACTTTAATAATAAACATTTATTTCAAACAAATTTATGTACTTATTTGTAGTCACGATTAGATAAATACCGAAGGGTGAATTCAGAGAATAAGGTAGCGAGATTTACAACTCAAATTCTTAGATAAACATTGTGTAAAATATGAGCATTGAAAATAAGGATCACATGTGCCATATAAAATAACCGAAAGAAATAAATAAACATACTAGAAGAGTTGTTTGATCAGGTTTATACATAGTACATACATTACACCTCACATCAGCAAGCGACTTAAAACAAATAACTACAACTTTGAACATTTTAGACCAAATCTTAGAACCTACAACAAGAAGATATTGAAAAAGAGAAAAGGGTAGAGTAATTAGTCATCAAGATATATAGCAAGTAAGTCATACAAAAATGTAACAATTAATTCACCTCAAGGTCGACAATCAACCTTAGCAAATGAACACTTTGGTCATTTTATAGAAAAAAGTAATACAAAATTAAATTAAACCTATAGGAAAAATATCAAAAAAATTTCATATAATTACCAACAAACACTTTTAAATTAAATTTTAAATGACAATAGTAAAAAACAATTTAAAAAATTAATGTCAAATTACTCGCTTTCCACATAATTGAAAAAATTATTGAATTCACCAAAGAAAAGAAAATTACTCACTTATTGTAATTTAAGTCACAAAGACTCAAACATCTAATTTAGATTTAAATTTTGGGACAAAGATTTCACCTACCAAATGTATTCATATTGCAAGTCCCTTGGTTATCCAAATTTAATATTATCCAATAACAAATCAATCCTTCAATTCAATTATGAGACACAAATAAAGGAACTTTTTAATATTCATAAAGACTTGTCAATTTTAGATAATCAAAACTAGTCAACTTTCATCAACAATATCAATCTTAGAGAATTTGGAACACTTATTAAAAAATTATTAAAAAAAAATAAGTTGTTACCTTCATTATTCTTAAATAACTTGGAGTCAGATTTTCTTTTCACACTATTACAAATATGAAAATTATGAAAAAAATCGGATTCCATTGTCAACTACTCCTTTCAAAAGAAGATTGATCATGGATTCGAGTAATAGCACACGATTTCATAAAATCATAAAATTTTCCTGATTTAAATAATGTAAGTTTTTCATTAAGATTTGGCTCTACATGTTCTATTCAATACAAGTAGGAGTAGATTGGCTCTACATGTTCTATTCAATACAAGTAGGAGTAGATGAATTCATGGATTGGATTTTACTTGGCAATTGTCTACAACTCTATTGTGTGTAGGGTAGAAGTTCTATATAAATGTATCGCCATACTATTAAGTACTTTTATTTATGTTCTTTTTTTTTTTTCTTCTAAGGGGTGAAATAAAATAACCTGATTGTAGTACAATGATAATACATCTATAATACATTATATGTCAAATAATAGATCATACTCTTCTATTCTTTACGGAGTCAATAATTATTCATAGATATTACTTTGACATTAAAAAAGAGTTAGACTGAGACAAAAAAAATATATTTAAAAATATTCATGACAAACTTTATGATCAAAGTGAACATATTTGTTCTATAAAACATTATTCATTATTAATTATTTATATTTATATCTAAATAAATTATTCAAAACACCTTATCTTCTTAATTAAAAGTTTTTTTACGTCACTTAATTAAAAGTTAAACCAAAAATTATTTATCTTGTTGTCATGTTTAAATATTTATTTTAGCTTAACATTTATCTAGACAAAAAGCTATTTGATATAAGAAAATAAAATAAATTCGTTTTTACGCGCAAACATTTGTGTTTTAAATAAAAACGCATAAAATACTTATATCACATTATTTAATATGAAATCATAAAGTTTATAATTATATATTTCTCTAACAGTAACAAGTATTACAAAACATAAGGCTTTGAACTTGTCCACCATAGAAGAAGTGCAAAAGTAAAACGTGTTATTAATCAAACACGTTGGTATTAATTTGATGATAGTGAATTCGTTAACTAAAGGGTTTCTTCTCAAAACATTCAATGACCATGTTAATCTGATGGATGTTATAAACAAGTCTTCTCAGCCTGATAATATGATGTGTATTGTCTTGCTCATATTGTTGTAATTCCAATGAGTTCAATTTACATTTTTTTTTGTTTATTTTGCTTGCTGTCCACATTATGTTCTTTACATGTGTTATTTTTCGGGTGATTAAAAGTTTTCTTTGAAAGATATTAAATATTATAGTAAAATTTGAATAAAGTTGTTTGAATTGAGTTATGTTATAAATGGAAGGAATCATGCCATTAATGACTTGTAACTGTGATGATCTGATCATTTCTATTTAGTTAAAGATTAATGACTTCTAACTGTGATGATCTGATCATTTCTATTTAGTTAAAGATGAGATGATAACTTAATCTCAATGTATAACAGACCCTTAGGTCAAATGAGAAATTGTTAGAATGTTTTAATAAAATAACAGACCCTTGACCGACTTCTAACTTTTATGTTCAAAAATATTTATTTATTACAAATTTTAATTAATATATAATTTATATTCCCAAAATAAAAATATATATTTATTATAAAGTTTTAGTTATATAAAATTATCATTGATCCTGCTCATTCAAGGAGCTACAATACATAGTTACACATTATACTTTTTTATATTTTCCATGCATCCATGAGTATTAACTGTTCAGCTTTCCTTTTTTTTGATAACAGAAAAATGTCTACTATAAAGGAGTTCACATAAGTAGAAATAGTTTATTGACAAGTGCGCCATGGGTACACATGGGATAAACCCGAAAACACAACTCACTTTATGGAAGTTCCACTAGTTCTAAGTACAACCTGTGCTCTACTTTCATCTGTACAAGCCTTAACTCCAGCACCACCAATCAATCTGATGAAGTGTTTTGTGTTTGTAGAACTCATCAAGATGTTGCAAGTCACTTCAGAGGCAACAAACTCCCTTCAAGCTATAGCTTTTGGCTTTGCTGAAGCCAATCAAGATGAAGAAACCTGCTGTTGGAGTTTGCTCATGAGTCATGCATTCAAAAGGTTTATGATCAATAAGGGGGACAAAAAATAATAGCAATCATGTGTGTTTTCTCTCAAGCCTTCTGAAATGTGCGAGAAGAAACTCCATGCAGAAGTCTAACAAACCCCAAGAAGCTAAGCTTCCCATCTGAGTGTCTTATCCAATCTTGGAGTACCACATGAATAGGCACTGATGGGCTAAGCCCAAGTTCCTGGAACAAATCAAATTACATAAGCTTAGTTAGAACCATTATACATGTGGTTGAAAAAGCATATTGCTCATCAAGAATTTGACTTGAATAATTAATATTGTCTTACTCTTATTTGAATAAATTTCTCTCTAAACATTTATAGGAAAAACAAAACAAACAAGAAAGTAAAATGAATTGAACTTATTTTGTAAACTAAACTTATGCACTTAATTCTTATAGAAACTTACATTTAACTTCTGAAAAAACTAAGTTGCATAAGTTGATTTTAGTTAATGGAAAAAACTAAAATCATTTTGTTTTCTTATTTTCTTCTCCTGTAAGTGTTTACATAGATATTTATCCAAATAAGGCCCAAGTCATGTTCATCATATTGGAAAGTGATTAGTAAAAGGCTCCACTAAAGTGAACTTGCACGCAAAGTGAGAGTGCACATTACAAGCATGGTTATTTTAGGGCCATTTTCTGAGTGATTAATAGGACCTTGGGAATAATTAATGAGTTGCAGTTCCTTGGCACTTGTGATTCTCTATAAAAAATAAAAATGTACTATTATTTTAGAAAAGATGGTATTGCAACAAGAGGAGTACCGATGCAAGCTCTTCAATCATAATTGGTCTATTTCCTTCCTTATCAAACAACTCATAGGCACGTCTTGCATGTTGCTCCCAGCTTTCCATTCCCTCTAGTTGATGGACACTTATAGCAGCAGCACAAAATTCTTCAAAATCTAATTTCCGATATTGGATTGAACTAACCTGCAACATGAATGGTAACAATTCAATTTTCAAGGGAGCAACTATGTTAGAAACATGTATGAAAAGTTACAGTCCCTAGTAGACTTACCATGTTCACATAATCTAAGACACGTGAATCCTTTGAGGCATCAGTGGCACTCCTTAAAATACCCTGCTAGTTTAAATGTGTTAGTAGATTGAAAGTTATTTGGAGAAAAAAGTACAAAAACTTTGGACATGTGCTGCTGACCGTCTTGAAGTTCTGCATGGAGATTAACCCACTTTTGTTCGGGCCTAAGATATTAAATTGTTCTCTCAGATATGCTAGCTGCACTAATGTTAATGTCTTAGCAAGGGCCTGCCAAAATGACAAAATTGATACTGATCAAAATTCAAAACATATTCATGTTATATGGATCCGCATATTATATGCCAGCCTTTGTATCAAATATGGATCCGCATATGATATGACAGTCTTTTGTATCAAAACACGGCTGTCGTATCTTACGAGCTTCTTATAATTTTACTTGCATAATAAAGGGATCAGAACTTGAATAGAACTTTTTCATTTAAATTTGGTTACAAATTAGATAATGCTTTTATAAAAAAAAATTCATGAAATCAAGGACTAGCAATAACATGACCACGGCTAACCAATACTATGAAGAATCAAAAAATCAAGAAAAATAAATTAATAAATATAAGTAATTTATAGTATGATTATGTTTTATTTATATATTGTCATACCTGTAACCTAACTTTTTTTTTTTTAAATTGTCATATTTACATATTATGTTGTGTCGCATCCAATACTGGTAACCATATCCATGCATCATCATTAAGAGATTTACAAACTCTATTAATTATAGTAGACATTTTTCTGTTATCAAAAAAAAGGAAAGCTGAACAGTTAATACTCATGGATGCATGGAAAATATAAAAAAGTATAATGTGTAACTATGTATTGTAGCTCCTTGAATGAGCAGGATCAATGATAATTTTATATAACTAAAACTTTATAATAAATATATATTTTTATTTTGGGAATATAAATTATATATTAATTAAAATTTGTAATAAATAAATATTTTTGAACATAAAAGTTAGAAGTCGGTCAAGGGTCTGTTATTTTATTAAAACATTCTAACAATTTCTCATTTGACCTAAGGGTCTGTTATACATTGAGATTAAGTTATCATCTCATCTTTAACTAAATAGAAATGATCAGATCATCACAGTTAGAAGTCATTAATCTTTGTATTAAAAAAGATCTATTTGTCTTTCCAAATAGATTACTCTTACTCTTAATTTTTTATTTAAATATATTTATAATTTTGTTTTGCAAGTTATATCAAATAAATATAATAGGCATTAATACGATACTTATTTCCGAATTCAACTGTCAATAATAATTAAATACCAACAATTTATTAATTTCCTGTGCACATTTCAAAGACTATTAAGGAATAAATTGTCCAAAGTAAAATAAATAAATAAATAAATTCAGAAAAAAAATAAAAAATAAATTGACCAACCGTACATCATGAGTTAAATTGTTTCAAAATTATATAAATTCCTTTCATTTTTATATCTTATTCAGATTTTAAAAAATTAAACTAATTATGTTTTGTTAAATTATGTTTTTAAGATTTATTTTCAGCTTTTATTTATAAAATGTTTATTTTTTATATCTTCTAAATAAATATGCAGATATTAAAATATTTAAATTACAAAAATATAAAAAGACCAAATTATCTTTTTTTAAGTTTAGAAAAAATTGAAAAATCCTAAAAGTTTGTAAAAAAGTATAAAATGATTTATTAAACCTATAAAAAATATAAAATCTTTCTTTATATATAAATGAGAATATATATTTTTAAGGGATAAAATCATACTCAAGATACTTGTCATGCTCAAGATGTTTCACTTCAACATATTTGTCAAAAGAGTCATACATGCTTTGACGTCAAGTTGAAGATATGTAATCAAATATTTAAAATTCCAAAAGTTCTAAATTTTTTTGGATTTAGTCAACATCGATGCATTTGATATAGTTCATATGGTTACCCTCAAACAATTGTTGTATGGTGCCTTTCACCACAGTAGCCTGATGCACAAAGAAATCTATATGCAAAACTCTTCTAGACATATGTATGGAAACAAATATATCTAAAAAATGTAACAACATCATTGTTGGCAATTTACCCTAAAAAAACATTGTAACTTTATAGAAACAAAGGCTTGAACATTAAAAATTGGCTAACCTTTCTAAAATAAGGAATGTGACACAATATCTGAAGAAGAGAATTCATCCAATACAACCAATTTCCTTTTTTGAGTCGTGTGACCAGTAATCAAGAGGCTTACATGCAACAACACCACCCGAAAACCTCTAGCAGGATCATAAGTGAAGAAGAGAATTCATCCAATACAACCAATTTCCTTTTTTGAGTCATGTGACCAGTAATCAAGAGGCTTACATACAACAACACCACCCGAAAGCCTCTAGCAGGATCATAAGTCAACAAGAGGCATGAAATTTGTGAAACCCCAATCATCTCACGAGCATTGAGCTGGTTCAGTGATTCTAAAATATGCAAACTCAATGAATTCTTTTCCAATAAAAGAAGAAAAGAGGAAAATAAAACACAGATTTGGATAAAAGTATCCCTAAAATAAAGGTTTTAAAGAAATAAAAACAAACCAAACATTCAACCTCTCAGACAGCTAAATTACAATCAAGCAAAATACTAATGACTAATGGGAGACAATATTACAATTGAGAACAGGTTGGGTTCATCTGGACTATGAAAGCTTGCATCAAGGGAAGAGGATTGCATAAGCCATTATCAAAACCATTGTAACCATTATATGGCTAACCGATGTGGGATCCTAACACAAACCTTAGCCGAACTAGACAACTCAAGGCTGAAGTTTGCAAAATTGAAAATTTGTATGTGATTAATAGCATAACAAAATATACTTACACATGAAATGCACAATTACAAAATGTAATTTATAATAAATAATGGAATATCATTCAAACTCTTGAACAGAACACTCGATTTATATCCTATTAGGATTTAGATCTCTTTGATCTTATAACATGTACAAAAAATCAATTAAAAACAAAACCTTAGAGCTATTTAAAGAACAGATAAAAATAAAGGAAACAACATTAAAACATCTAAAAAACACACAGATAAATTCACATACACACCCACACAGAGGGAGTTAGAGATACAAAAAAACACACAAATAAAGACACACAGAGAAACACAAACAAAGACCACATACACAAATAAAGACAGACACAGAGACAAAGATAAATCACAAAAAGGCCAAGACATAGTATACACAAAGACATCACATGCAAAGAGACACACAAAGCACACATACAGACACAAATACAAGGAAAGATTTAAATAAATAATCTATATTTTTCTAATCAAACATATTTTCTTTTAGACTAATGAGCTATTAAAAATAGTTCACAGAGAACAAACAAAATAAATGGGACGCACATGCAAATATATTCCATACACGACATATATAAAGACATTATTAGATGTTGACATGGATACCTGTGCTTTTAATTTGATAACTAAATTTCCAAAGCAGAATTTGCATAGCTGAATGGCAAAATGGATGTCCCTCTAGTCCGCAAGGCTTCCAAAGCATAGACCAATGTGGATGTTCTCCCTAATCAAAGCATCCCTAATATAAGTGCATTAACTGAAAATCAATAAAAAAGAAGTCACAAAAAAATCATTTAATTTATAAACTAAAGCTACGGGCATGTTAAATTTAGAAAAGAAATTCAAGAAATTGCAACTTCAAGCAATCCATGACAATTGCTGAAATTGCTCAAACTCTATTGCAATCCATGACAATTGCAAGACATAAAAACATATGCATATAATAGTATAATTTTTTTACAAAAATAAAAAAATAGAAATTTAAAATTATGTAATAGAAAAATAAGACAGACTAATTATAACTATAAACTTAAGAAAGTTGATATAATAAAAAATATAAAACACAGACATCTTAAGGAAATGCCATTGTTATTATATATGATATTAATTTTAATCTATATTATTTAAATTAGAGTTGTATTTTACTTAAATGAAATAAAAACAATGTGTTCATGTAAAGAATAGATCAAGTGTTGAGGGTGCTAAGATAGTATGCATAAGGACTTAGAATCATATAAAAAAACTAGATAAAGTTTAATTATGATATAAATTATCAAATAATTCTATTTTAGAAGAAAGGAAAAGAAAAAAGAAAAAATTAAGTTTAGATTAACTTTTCATTGCATAGAATATATGCTGATTTCTTACCCCAAAACTAATTCAAACATAGCAAATTAGGAGAAGTCTAAAGTCAGTAGGGAAACAAGTAATTCTATTTAAGGGACTAACGACGCTTCAATAACACAACCACAACACAACAACTGATTTGCTAAGATTAGGCATTTGACTTCTGCTTGGTGTAAGATGTAGTGCAAAGCACATAGCCTTTCTAAGGGAGTTTTCCAAGCATATAGGTTGAGGAAATGAGAATCTATGAGGCATTTTTTTTGTCGTTATGTATTTATTTTGCACATACAGTAAGGAGGACTATTATCCTCAAAACTCCGAACACATTAAAAATATAATGAATTTCTTCTTTTGTAAAAATAAATAAATAAATTACTAGAACAAAAAGGAGTAGTTGTCGAAATAGTACAATATAGTATAGACTACAATAAAATTAAGTTCATATCAATTATATCAAAGCATCCCTAATATAAGTGCATTAACTGAAAATCAATAAAAAAGAAGTCACAAAAAAATCATTTAATTTATAAACTAAAGCTACGGGCATGTTAAATTTAGAAAAGAAATTCAAGAAATTGCAACTTCAAGCAATCCATGACAATTGCTGAAATTGCTCAAACTCTATTGCAATCCATGACAATTGCAAGACATAAAAACATATGCATATAATAGTATAATTTTTTTACAAAAATAAAAAAATAGAAATTTAAAATTATGTAATAGAAAAATAAGACAGACTAATTATAACTATAAACTTAAGAAAGTTGATATAATAAAAAATATAAAACACAGACATCTTAAGGAAATGCCATTGTTATTATATATGATATTAATTTTAATCTATATTATTTAAATTAGAGTTGTATTTTACTTAAATGAAATAAAAACAATGTGTTCATGTAAAGAATAGATCAAGTGTTGAGGGTGCTAAGATAGTATGCATAAGGACTTAGAATCATATAAAAAAACTAGATAAAGTTTAATTATGATATAAATTATCAAATAATTCTATTTTAGAAGAAAGGAAAAGAAAAAAGAAAAAATTAAGTTTAGATTAACTTTTCATTGCATAGAATATATGCTGATTTCTTACCCCAAAACTAATTCAAACATAGCAAATTAGGAGAAGTCTAAAGTCAGTAGGGAAACAAGTAATTCTATTTAAGGGACTAACGACGCTTCAATAACACAACCACAACACAACAACTGATTTGCTAAGATTAGGCATTTGACTTCTGCTTGGTGTAAGATGTAGTGCAAAGCACATAGCCTTTCTAAGGGAGTTTTCCAAGCATATAGGTTGAGGAAATGAGAATCTATGAGGCATTTTTTTTGTCGTTATGTATTTATTTTGCACATACAGTAAGGAGGACTATTATCCTCAAAACTCCGAACACATTAAAAATATAATGAATTTCTTCTTTTGTAAAAATAAATAAATAAATTACTAGAACAAAAAGGAGTAGTTGTCGAAATAGTACAATATAGTATAGACTACAATAAAATTAAGTTCATATCAATTATATTACTCAACAACAATTAGTTACACATCAGGACAAAAAACAGCTTAGACAATTGAGACTTTGAAGTTCCCTTGTTTTTTTTGCTATTTTATGAGATTAAAGATAGTTATTACAAATGTGTCCAAGTAAATAATAATGTTGAAACTTGAGTTTAATAGGAACTGAAATTCTCCCTTCAGCTCACAAAATAAAATAAAACTAATACCTCAAGGAAACTCATAAAAGGGAGTGAAGAAATGTTGCCTTATTGTTTGTTTACTTTCATATCAATGATTTCTCGAAAAAAAAAAGAAGCAATAAATCATAAATGAAAAAGGACATTAACTACAAAAATTAAGCACATTATTTTATATTATATATATAAAACAAATTTTAGATTCAACATAAACACACAAGAAAAAAAATTCTTTATCTATATTTTATATAATCAAAATTAAGATATTCAAAAAATATAAAATCCATAGAAAAAGGTTCCTAAACTCTCGTTTTAGCAACTACATGGAGCCCTTCAGGAATTACTGCAACTGCCACAGCAACTGCAATCCTGAAGGAATATGATTAGAAGTTAAAAGATTTCCATGTTTACAAGACAACATAATATCTTCTATCAAGTAAAGAGAAAAATATAACCAAACTTAAAGAGACTAAACATAAATTGAGTAAACAGTACATGCAAAACAAAAAGAATAGAAGACTACAACATGATGCCTGTGAAAAATTCAATACATGAGCAAATACGGAATAGAAACCATGATATAGATAAAAACAAAGCTTATTTGAGTTGAGAAAAAACCTTAAAATAATAAATTGCACAATGCAAGAAACCACCTTGAGATGGGTCCTGAAAGTGACCAATATTTACAATCCGCACCAACACACAAATCCCTGTTATAACCTATAACACAATTAAAGGAACCACCATCACAATTTGAAAATAAATGAGACAAAAGGGCTTCACAGTTAAAACATAAGTAATAAAAAGATTTGTCATATAAATGTTTCTCATATCATATATTATATTTTCTGAAGCATGATAATTTTTAGGATAATGAGGATCACAAATGGAAGTGTTTCATTTATAATCAATTGTAATTATAATTCTTCTCCCTGCATCAAACGAGCTTCAGTATCATTTACAATCCCTGTATAATTATAATCAATTATACATTGCAGTATCGTTTAACTCTGGAATTCCTCAAAGGAAATCATCAGCTGTTTACAAATTAACTGAAATATTTTCCGAATGCCAGAAGACAAAAATGTCCGTATGATATAACAGTAAAGCATTGACATGAACAAACTTCAATGCTTATATCCTTTGTTTGCAATATTGAATCACGTATGTTAACTATGGCAGTGTTAGGACGACCTCCCACCACAACAGGTCTTGCCCTACCAGCAACGATAACCATACCCTTTCATTCAAAATAAACTCTAGTATTAAAAAAGAGAGTTTAAGAGAAACAATCTCAAATAGCACAGGGTAATTAAATCATTTCTACACTGCTACAAAAATTGACAAGTTCTTTTCCAGAATAAATGAATTGCAATACAATTTTTTTTTAAAAAAAACAAATGAATAAATGTAAATTTTGATCTTTCAATGTCAAGCAGAGCTCATCTTTGGAACTGACACCATATTGGTAGTTAGAGTCCCTGTTTTGTCACTGCAAATAACAGCAGTGCTACCCAAGGTTCAACCAATGGCAAGGAGCTAACAAGGGCATTCAACCTAGGCATATGCTTTGTTCCAAGAGCCAAACAACTATTATAAAAGAAAAGTAACCAACGTAAGAAATGAAAAATGAAAAAAGAAAAAATAAAGACTAGATTAACTTTCCATTACATTGAACATATGCTGATTTCTTACCAAAAACTAATTCAAACATAGCATATCAGGAGAAGTCTAGAGTCAGTAGGGAACCAAGTAATTCTATTTAAGGGACAAATTAGCTAAGATTAGGCATTTGACTTCTACTTCGTGTAACATGTAGTGCAAAGCACAATCTTTATAAAGAAGTTTTCCAAGCAAATATGTTTAGGAAATGAGAAGCTGAGACATTTTTTTAGTAGTTGTTTTTTTTTTTCCCACATACACTAAGGATGACTATTATCCTCCAAACTCATTAAAAATCATAATGAATTTCTTCCTTTGAGAAAATAAATAGATAAATTACTAGAACAAAAATTAGTAGTGCTCAGAATACTACAATATAGTATAGACTACAATAAAATTAAGTTCTGATCAATTAAATTATTCAATGACAATAAGGTACAGGACAAAAAAACGGCTTAGACATTTGAGACATTTAAGTTTCTTGGTTTTTTGCTATTTTATGAGATTCAAGATAGTTATTACACAAATGTGATTATTAAATGTCCAAGCAAATGATAAAGATAGGAACTGGAATTCTCCCTTCAAGCTCACAAAACAAAACAAAATAAAATAAAATTAATGCCTCAAGGACACTCCTTTTAGTCCCTATCGTCTATTGTTATATAGACTAAAAGGAAACAATAACACTAATCATCAGGGACTAAAATGAAATGTTTTTAATTGTAGGAATTAATAGGTAAAGGTTATGACATTATAGGGACCAAAAGGGCACTTACACCATATATTAACTAAAACCAAACCAAATTTTCTACATGAACAAGGATTTTTACATATTACACTTTAGATAAGTGCCATTACCTTAAACATATTGTCAAATTGAACTTAAGATATCCAAAGCAAATTGAAAACAATACTTAAACCTTATTAGCCACATGCTGATTGAACAAAGGATGCATGCTTCATACCAAGAACAGAATATTTGTTTTGCCTTAGTATACAACATTTGTTGATATGGGTATTTTAAGCTCTATCTACACAAAGCTGTTCTCAACTACAATCAGAAAAAAGTATTTAATAATATATAAAATATTAAAACAGAAAGATGTCTGATGATAGATATATCTGTGTTAAAATAAACAATTGATACACTCGTACACGTATGTAAGATGGAAAATAAATCACTTGATAGTTGATACACTTGTTCACATGTGTTTTTCCTTAAACAGACATGTTGCGCTCAACATATTTACCTAACATAGTCTTTTTGAAAGGATGGTTATGCCTGAAAGCTTAATTTGAAGCCTTACTTTGCAATGGAACCTTTAATCAAGCCAAAACGCACTTTAAATACTCTAAATTACCTAAATTGCCAACATGTGAGCATATGTAGTGCGTCTTCACACTTTTCGGTCACAATCACACAAGTGAAGTGATTTCCAAGTGGAAACATTCAATAATTCAATTCACTGTACAAAGGATGTGCAACAGGAGTACCTGTAAGAATAGCTATAGATCAACACAAACTTGATTGCTTAGCATCTCAATCATGCTCACATCAGTAGGAATTTCGCACCAAACTTTTTAGTGAACAACCAGAACAGAGTTAACTTTCAGCTTTCCAGGATTAAATAATCAACAGAACTAGTTTGCTTTAAAGCACTGCATAATCAGCTTACCAGAAACTTCCATAATATCCCCAAGTACAAGTTCAGTTGAAGAAAGTATGGAAAAAAAACCTGCAAAAAATAGACTCTGCTTAATTTAAAATTTGTACTAGAACTTCAAGATGACAAGCTTTACCAATTCAACAAATATCCCCATTGTATCATCACGATAGATAGAAGAAAGTAAACGCACAAAATCTTAACTACTAAGAGGGTGCCCAGAATGTGCCCCACGTGAAGAACGGAAAGTAATTCTCCCATCACGCTTTCATATCTTAAAACATTTTACTTGATCAAAATTTCTTGTTTTCCTTTCTCTATTTTCGAAAAGCTTATATATTGAACATTTATTCATTCTTTGTCCTAAGATCTTTGATTATTTATTTACTATAAAAGAAGAAAATTGTTCAAAAGCAAAAAAAGAAGAAGATACTTAAATCTGAATGATTTTCATATACTTGAATTGATGGGTACAATAAAATAAATAGGCATAAAACATAATCAATCCCTAAAATTTAGGAATTTAGATAAAACTGACTAAGGAAACTAAACTAGAAATTAGGATTAGGAGAAGATAAACTAGTATATCTAAACTATATCTTATAGAATTATCTTAACACTCCCCCTTAAGCTGGAGCATATATATCATATGCATCTAGCTTGTTACATATATATGTTATCCTAGGACCTCGTAAAGATTTAGTAAAGATATCTGCAAGTTGATCCTTGGAGCAAATTGAGGAGGTCTTGATGATACCGGAGAGGATCTTTTCTCTGATGAAATGGCAGTCAACCTCTATATACTTTGTTCTCTCATGAAAAACTGGATTAGAGGAGAGGTATAAAGCTGATTGGTTATCACAAACTAGTTCCATATGACCAACCTTGCAAAATTGCAACTCGAGTTAAGAATTTTAGCCACAAGAGCTCACATGTGGTGTGAGCCATAGCACGGTATTCTGCTTCTGTACTTGATCGTGCAACAACACTTTGCGTTTTACTCTTCGATGAGACAAGATTACCACCCATGAAAACATAATAGCCTGATGTTAACCGTCTATCACTTACATCACCTGCCCAATCTACAGTTGAATATCCAACAATGTCTATATGTCCTCTATCATTGTAAACAAGTCCTTTTCCTGGTGATCTTTTGATGTATCTAAGGATTCGAACAACTGCAAGCCAATGACTCTCACAGGGAGAGTTAAGAAACTGACTTACAACACTAACAGGAAAAGATATATCAAGTCTGGTCATGGTGAAATAATTCAATTTTTCCACTAATCTCTGATATCTCCCTGGGTCAGGATAAGGCTCCCCTTGATTAGGCATAAGCTTCACATTGGGATCCATGGGAGTGTCAACTGGCTTATAATTTGTAAGTCCGATCTCTTCTAGAATATTAAAGGCATATTTTCTCTGAGAAATAGCAATACCAGACTTTGACTGAGCGACCTCAATTCCAAGGAAATAACGTAGGAGACCTAAATCCTTAGTTTGAAAGTGTTTAAATAAATGTTGCTTCAGACCTGTAATCACAATATCATCTACATAAACAACAAGATAGATAAATTTATGTGTCGATGAGCGTCTAAAGAAGACAGTGTGGTCTGCCTCGCAGCGGATCATTCCAAATTCCTGTATAACTTTGCTAAACCGACCAAACCAAGCACAAGGTGATTGTTTGAGGCCATACAAGGACTTTTGTAATTTACATACAAGACCAGACCCCCCTTGAGCAACAAACCCAGGAGGTTGATCCATATAAATCTCCTCCTCCAAATCACCATGTAAGAAGGCATTTTTGATGTCTAATTGAAACAAAGGCCAATGCCTCATTAAGATTATGTTCATCAAATGCTGTTGCATTTTATCAGCATAACTTTTCCAAATAGTGCACTTTTAGTAACATTGTTGAACAAAACATAAAGTTTTAACATATTAGTAAATTGTTAAATATTAAATAAATTAATATTGTATAATTTAACAAAATAAATAAATCAATACTTTAAATCTTGAAGAACTAAAACATCAATTTGTGTTTTTTTTATCATTTTTTTCATTCTTCTTAATGTCATCCTTTTGAAGGACATGTCCAATAACATCTAAAACAAAATAAGTGACAAAAATTATAATTTAAAATAAACAATGTAAATAATTTTAACAAATATAATATAGAAGATAAATGATTTTAAGATATATAATATGAAATCAACTAATCAATCAATATATTTTCTTTGTTTAAATTCAAAATATCTTAAAAAAATCTTATTTAAAAATAATGTTGCTTTAATTTTTATTTTATTGAGTTAATAACAAGTTTTGAATGAGATATAAAACATTCTTCAAGTAATTGATTAAACTTGTTTTCTTGTACATGTAAAAGAATAGAATAAAATTACTATAATTAGTTTTAAACCAAAAAAAAAAGAAAGAAAATTCTTAAGGAGATATAGATATTAACAATTTCATTCCCTTTGATCAAGAAGCATTTACACAAAAGATAATATATTCTCGTTCTCAAATCAAATAAAATAGTAATGAAAATATATTATAATTGAATAGAAGTTTGTGCCTGATAGAAGTACAATTGACAATAAATTACTATAGAAAATGTTTAAATACATATAAGAAGTCAAATTCATTTCATATATGAATGATATCCTAAATCAATATTCTTGAAAACTTTTTATTTACAAAATCAGTAATTAATTACGTTAATCATGGACAATTAATTGATAAATAATTATCGATAAATAAGTGAAACAAATATAAATATACTAATTTCTCATTTTTTTAAAAACTATTTAGCTTTTAGCCTTAAATTATTATCTGTAATAAATTTGAAATTGTCCATCATATATGTAATAATTATTAGTATTAAAAAAGTTATTTTAATCCATATTTTTTTCATTTATTTTGATATATATTATATCATTAATTGAAATGTATTAAATTATTATTGTATATGAAATATATGAATGATATGCACATAAAACTGTCTATATTCATAATATATTTGACATTTACAAAATTGGTATTTAATTATAGTAATTATGAAAAATTAACTGCTAAATAATTGAAATAATTATTAATTTACTAATGTCAAAAATTGCTTATTTATATTTAGTAGTATTATTTTTATAAATTTTCAAAATAAAGCAAAATGTCACCCTAAAAATATCAAAAGGTTAAAATTGCTAAACGTATCAAGCATTAAATGAATATATTTTATTCTAAATTTTACGTTTGAAATAACATTTACTTCTGATCTTTAAATTAAAAATTTAATAAAGCAAAAGGTTAACCTAAAAAAAAAGCCGAAAGGTTAAAATTATAACAATGATACCAATTGCATATAAAAAATTTGGGTGTACTAATTTTATACTTTTTTTATTATATTGTTATATTTGACTCTTTTTTATTTTGATAGTTTTTTATACATTTGTTTTTTAGTTTATGTTGACATGGATATATGTGTTTTTAGTTTGATAACTAAATTACCAAAGGAAAATAATGCTAATTATAATTATTACTATACATGCACAAAAAATTGTATTTAAGGGACACATAAGAAACAAACGTACCAATATGCCTTTTGAAAATAAGAAAGTGAATCTAGATAACTTAATTGACGCTGCTTCTAGTGATTGTCTATACATGCCTAAAAAATGTGTCCATGATTGAAATTCCAAAGCTGAAATCAAATTCAAGTGCAAAGGGTAAGGCAAAAACTATCTTAAAATTATATTCAAGTGCAAAAGTGAAACTAACCCAAAATCTTAAAATTCACCGATCTCCTGGGACCCTCCACCTACATATAACAATAAACAAAAAAAAAAAATACAAGAATTGCAAAATGCATACTTCGCTCCTGCAACATGTGAGAAAACGAGTAAGCATCATAAAATAGCACAGTTTAATTTCTGTAGTTTAAAAACCTAATAAGTAGTTGAAGTCAATCAAAATATTGCAGTTATTCATGCATAATACTCAATAAATTCGCTTATGCATCTTGAATCAGACACAATCAAAGACTGTTTGTAAGAAAGCACTGAACCAAAGGAAATTAGGAAAATTCTTAACAAATCTCAATACACAGTCTTGCCATCTTGACCGTGACAATTTCACAAGTATCATACTGCTTCACTGCAACAAAAATAAAAATAAAAAATGAATAATAATTTTTTATTGATGGCAACAATCTCGAAGGTCATGTTTAAGATTATTTATACATAAGGAGTTAATTTTCATAAACCATATGTGATTGGTTAAAATTATTTACTTAAATCTAATATTGATGTTTTAATTTATTGTTTTCAGAATAAGGGTAAACAAATTGCACTTGAGAAAAGGGCAGCTGTATGGTTGGCAAGGGCAGCAAATGGCCAGGGGCTGTACATCTCTCCTGCAACATGTGAGAGAATGCTTAAACATCATAAAATAGCAAAGTTTTCAGTAGTTTAAAAACCTAATAAGTAGTTGGAGTCAATCAAAATAACTCAGTTATTCATGTGTAGCAATCATAAAAATAAATTCCCAAATGCAACTTGAATCAGACACAAAGTGATTGTAAGATGGCCCTGAACCAGAGGAAATTAGGAAAATCCTTAACAAATAGCAATACACGAAGTCTTCTGATCTTGACCACGACAATCTCAAAGGTATCATATTGCTTCACTACAACAAAAATGAAAATAAAAAAATGAATGATAATTATTTATTGATGGCGACAATCTCAAAGCTGTCATATTTAAGATTATTTATACAATGATGTATCTATTGAGGAGTTAATTTTCATAAATCATATGTGAATGGTTAAAATTATTTACTTAAATCTAATATCAATGCTTAAATTGATTGTTTTCAGAGAAGGGGATAAACTAATTGCACTTGAGAAAAGGGCAGCTATATGGTTGGCAAGGGCATCAAATGGCCAGAGGCTGTACGGATGGCATCTAGGCCATCACAGTGAATTTTTTTTTTTTTTTTGTATAATTTCATTTATCATTATTTTTAGAAGCCTAGCAGCAAGCAGGTATGGCACTAGGTATGCAACAAACACTTGGCGACCCTTGCACTGATAGTGATATTAAAGATGGGAACTTTTCTCAGTTTTTCTCAAATTTTTTTGCCTAATTTGAATAAGAAGCAAAAAGGAAGGTAAATTATTGAAAGCAAATTATGGAATGTGTATATGCAGATAAGATTATAAATAATAAAAAGCAAACCTTTGGATTTTGGAACCTTGAGTCCAGCTCTGCTCAAATATCAGTTGTAAGTGGCACAATGGAACCATCATCATTGCACAGAATGGTTATATATCTAGAAATTATACTTTATGGGGAACCCTTTGAGGAAAAAACCTGCATCCGATTCCAGCTGCAAAGAGCACTCATCATTTTCCGATCTGGAGAAAATTCCAAAACATGTATTTGCAAAGCATGAAGCTCAAAGTGTGAAGCAAAATGCTTATCCAGAAATTATACTTTATGACCAACCCAGGAAGAGAGGGCTTCCTTCTGAAAACTCTTCAAGGATGAAAACCCAAAATGCTTTTGCACAAATGGAATGATGCAACATCCGAATCTTTGAACTTGAAATGGCTCTGAAAGCACAAATGGAATGGGATCAGGGAAATCCTCCGTGTGTTCTTGGACATTATTGGAGTGGAAATGGTCGAATATCTTGGACTGCCGAACTAAACAACACGTGCGCAAAGGTTGTCTTCTGAGAGGGTTCTTATTGTGTTCTTGCAATTTGAAGGTGTTGAGGATGTGCTCCACAACACTAGGAAGAGAGACCCACTTCTTTTATGGCTTCGGCAATATTTGAATACTCAAAAGTCAAAACCCATTTCAATCATTTCTGCAATCACTTGGTCCGTACATGTGTTGTTGCCGTCCATCGCATTTCTTGCTATAAATTAAAATTAAGAAAGAAAGATCCCATTTTGCTTTGGAAAATCAACATCAGCCTCAATTATATTTCTATCACTCACCAAAAAACTTCTAGCAGGATCATATAAGTCAGCAAGTGGAGACATGAAATTAGTGAAACCCCAATCACTCTCATGAGCATTGAACTGATGCTGTGATACTGCATTATGCAAAATCAATTAATTCTTTTTCCAATAAAGAAGAAAACAGAATAAATACAACACAGATGAGGATGAGATCCCTAAAAAAAAGGTTTTAAAGAAAAACCCTAGCGAGTAATAAAGAAAAGCAAGAATCAGCAAGAAATTGAAAAGCAAAGAAACAAAGAAAAGCAAGAATCAGCAAGAAATTGAAAAGCAAAGAAACGCATAACATCACTTTAGTTTCTACCTTTCATCCGCACAATGTCGCCGGAACGAGGAACAAAGAGAAAAATCCTAATGAGTAGCAAAGATAAACAAGAATCAGGAAGAAATGTAACAACAATCAGAAAGAAAACAATAAGAAATTGAAAAACAGTGAATCTGAATTGCAGAAAAGGAAAAGAAGAGAGAAGACATCTAACGGAAGACGAGGCATTGATGTGTGGTGGTTGCTATCGAAGAAACCGAGAGACTCTCGAAAGTGGAAAACCCGACCGAATGATGAGTGACGCAGAGAGACGGTGGTTGACTGCTTTGGTTGCCTTCGTCTTGGTTGCCTTCCTGCTATTTAAAGAATAACCCGGGCTGACCTGGTACAAATGTTTTTAAATTACATGTATAAATTCCTTTTATTTTTATATTTTATTATTAATTTTTTTAAAAAAAATAATTAATTATCTTTTGTTAAATTATATTTTTAAGACATCTTTTATTTTTAAAATATTTATTTTCTTTATACCTTTTAAATAGTGTGGATATTAAAAATATTTAAATTATAAAATATAACAAGACCTAATTATTATTTTTTAGTTTAAAAGTTTAATTAAAAAATCCTAAACGTTCATAAAAAAATACAAAATGATTTATTAAAACCATTAAGAAATGTAAGACTTTCTTTATGTATAAATTATAATAGATATTTTTAAGGAAAGTGTTTTTAAAAAATATTTTTAAACTGATTTTTAAAAATAAAATTCAAAGGAAGTGTTTTAGATATTCTTTTAAAAAAAATTCATTTCTTTGAGATTATTATTTGAATTCTTATTTTTAAAACCTAACTAAGAACAATTGTTAATTTTTTAAGTAATACACAATTTATATTGTTTGTTCCTAAATTATTTTTAGACTAACATATCTAAAATTAAAGTTAATTTGATAAATACAATAATTTTAGACTCTTAAAGAGCATGAACTTTAACTGATTAGAAAAAATATAAATATTAATTAGAAGAAAAATAATATAAAATATAAATTCTAATTAGTTAGAAAATAAGTACTAATTAAATAATTAAAAGATAATTTTATATATATATATATAATTTATTTTTATCAACTAACGTAACTATTTTATTTTTAATCTAGACTTACATTATTTTATATGAAATCAAAGAGTTTATAATTATATGAGTATTAAAATTATTATATTAATCATAAATAATTTATACATACCTTTCCATGGTATTAAAACGATGTATTTATGTCTTTCCAAATAGATTACTCTCAATTTTTTATTTAAATATATTTATGAAAAATAGTTACAAGTTATATCAAATAAATATAATAAGCATCAATACCATATTTAATTCCGAATTCAACTTTCAACAATAATTAAATTAAATATCAGTTATTAATTAAATTTTCTATGCATATTTCACAGATTATATTAAGAAATAAGCTACTCAATATAAAATAAATAAATAAATTTAGAAAAGAATAAAAAATAAATTAACCTACCGTACATCATGAATTAAATTTTTTCAAAATTATATAAATTCCTTTCTTTTTGTCTTATTATTCAATTTTAAAAAAAATTAAATTATGTTTTGTTAGGTTATGTTTTTAAGATTTATTTTTTAAATGTTTATTTTTTTATATCTTCTAAATAAATATGAAAATATTATAAATATATAAATTATAAAATAAATTATAAAATATAAAAAGACCAATTCTAGGTATATGGTACAATATTATAGTATAAAATAAATTATAAAATATAAAAAGACCAATTCTAGGTATATGGTACAATATTATAGTATAAAATAAATTATAAAATATAAAAAGACCAATTCTAGGTATATGGTACAATATTATAGTATAAAATAAATTATAAAATATAAAAAGACCAATTCTAGGCATATGATACAATATTATAGTCTCTAACAGTGGTGCATGCAAGGTGTTTCCTTTCATGGAAACAATGGTTTAAACATTAAAAATTGGCTAACCTTTCTAAAATAAAGAATGTGATATAGTGCCTGAAGAAGAGAATTCATGTAACTCTCACGAGAATTGAACTGGTGCTATGATTCTAAAATATACAAACTCAATTAAGTCTTTTCCAATAAAAGAAGAAAATGGGAAAAATACAACACAAATTTGGATAAGATATCCCCAAAAACAAAGGTTTTAAAGGAAAAACACACAAAAATCATTCAATCAGCTAAATTATTCAAGAAAAATACCAATAACTAATAGGAAACAATATTACAATAGAATAGATTAGATTCATCTTGACTATAAAAGTTTGCATCAAGGGAAGAGGATTGCCTAAGTCATTATCAAAACTATTATAACTATTATATATGTAATCAATATGAGATCCTAATATACAAACCTTAGCCCGTCTAGACAACTCAAGGTTGAAGTTTGCAAAATTGAAAATTTGTATATGTGATTAATAACATAACTAAGTATACTTACACATGCAATGTACAATTGCAAATTTTATTTTGTAATAAACAATGGAATATCATTCAAACTGTTGATTTATATCCTATTAGAATTTAGATCTCTTTGATCTTATAATGTACAAAAAATCAATTAAAAACAAAACTTTAGAGCTATTTAAAGAGTAGATAAAAATAAATGAAACAACATTAAAGCATCTACAAAAACACACAAATAAAGTCACACACATCCACATAGAGGGAGTTAGAGATTAAAAAACACGCACAAATAAAGACACGCACTAAGACACACAAATACAAATACAGACACAAATACACAAATAAAGACAAACAGAGACAAAGATAAATTACAAAAAGGCTAAGACATGGCATACACGCACAGACACATATCACAAGCAAAGAGACAAACAAAGCACACACATACACAAATACAAGGGAAAATTTAAGTAAATAATCCATATTTTCCAATCAAACATATTTTCTTTGAGCAATGATATACGTTCCAAAATCGTATTCCGAATCACATTCCAAACATTAAAATATTAATATAATTTTTAATAAATTTATAAAATAGTTATTTAATTTAATATTTTATAATTTAAATTATTATTTTAATCATTCAGAATGATTGTCGACACATACGTTCGGAGGTTCTATATTTTTTCATTTTCTTTTAGATTGATGAACTATTAAATATAGTTCACAGAGAACAAACAAAATAAATGGCACGCACATGCAAATATATTCCAATATGTAGTCATATTTAATGATACAACATACATAAACACATGATAAGATGTTAACATGGATACCTATGCTTTTAATTTGATAACTAAATTACCAAAGCAGAATATGCATAGCTAATTGGCAAAAAGGATGTTCCTCTAGTCTGCTAGGCTTCCAAAGCATAGACTAATGTGGATGTTCTCCCTAATTGAAACACACCTAATATAAGTGCATTAACTAAAAATCAATAATAAAAAAAAGCAGAATCACCAAAAAAAACCATTTTATTAATAACCTAAAGCGAACGGCATGTTAAATTTAGAAAAAAAATTCAAGAAATTGAAACATCAAGCAATCCATGACAATTGCTCAAATCGCTCAGTCCCTAAACTTGACAAATAAAGTACCTTTTTTGGTGGAGTATTGAATATTGATTTGATTAACACTAGTCAAGCTAAACATGGTATTACTCCATCTGGGAGGCAACATCTTTATTCTCCTTTGGAAAAATAAGTATTTGCCTGTTCAATTCAAATAATGTCGATAAGGATCAACATCAAAATGTGCAAACATTTCTCACCTTGATAAATAGGTAATTAGAATTAACAAATAAAATATGGTAACTAGAATTACCAACTAAAGAATATGAGCAGAAAATCACACTATTTTTCAATCGAAGACCCACATTACAAATCAAACCTCTCCACACAAGAAATATCCCTTTGCCACATGATAGACAAAATAAAACACAAGAAATATCCCTTTGCCACATGATAGACAAAATAAAACACGATGTTGCCACCAAATAAATAGTAAGTTACATTAGTTAGTTAGATAGGCAAAATAATACATGATGTTGCCTATAAACAAAGAGAAATGAGAGAGACAAATCAATTTCTAGATTACACTTTAGTAATAAACACTTATTCCAAACAAATTCATGTGCTTATTGATAATCAAGAGTAATAGTGGTAATACATATTATATAATGAAATATTTAATTAAATAAACCAACCCATCCAGCCAAAATGGCCTTTTAAGATAACAAGGATTTTAAAAAAGTTAGTCAAATTTCTTTTTTAAAATGGCAAGGTAACCAACCATTAAAGGAGTCAAGCAATGGGCCCCTTACAAATTGACTAACTGTTCCACCTGCACACTAATCTACCCTTACCAAAATATAATCAAGCAAAATCCTATAGTAGAGAGAGAGGTCTTTACAATTTTTTCAAGAATTGGTTTTTTACAAAAAAAAAAAAAAAAAAAGTCGACAAAATTCAAACAAATCACAAAAAATTTACCTAAATTACCAACACGTGAGCATATGTAGTATGTTTTCACGCTTGCTAAACTTAATCACACAAGTGACATGATTGCTAGGTGAAAAAATTCAATAGTTCTATTCACATTATAAAAGATGTGCAGCAGGAAGACCT